GGGGGGTAGGGGGTAGGGGTGGGGTGAGGGGAGGGAGAGTGAGAAGGGATTGATATGTAAAACAAGGTTTCTCCTAATTTGAACTAATAAAAAATTACAAAAAGAATATTTCTGTTACTAGGATTGATATTTCTTGCATGCCAGTCTCTTAAATTTGCTTAACAAGTTAGTTCTCCAGAGTCTTTTCTATATTTACTGATAAAATTTTGTCCTCCATTTCAGAACCTGGACTACAGCAAGATTGGACAATCACATTTTTTCTTTATTATCAATGTAATACATGTTCACTCTGGAGAAACTGGGATGTGTGGAAATGGAAATGCAGTGAACGAATGACTGACACCATGTTAGCTCCTTTTCTATGGCTATGGTAAAACACCATGAGCAAAGCAGTTTATAGGAGGAAGGGTTTAATGAGATATCCTGCAGTCTCATCTTTTGAATCCTTGGTCCCAGTTGGTGGCACTGTTGGGGGAGGTTTAGGAGGTATGGCTTGATGACACAAGTATGTCTCTGGGGCAAGTTTTGAGGGTTCCAAAGCCATGTGCCATTTCCAGTTTGTTCTCTCTGCTTCCTGCTTGTGGTTTGAGATGTCAGCTCTCAGTTCCAGCTCTACGTCTGTCCCCTGCTGCCATGCTTATGGACTCTAACCCTCTGGAACTCTAAACTCAAATAAAGGCTTTCTTTTTATAAATTGCCTTAGCTATGATGTTTTATCATAGCAGCAGAAAAGTAACTAACATAACCCCTTTCTTAGTCACTGTTCTATTGCTGTGAAGAGACACCATGACCAAGGCAAACTGGGGGCTGACTTACAGTTTCAGAGGTTTAGTTCATTATCATCATGGTGGGGATCATGGCAGCAGGCAGACACACACTGGAGCAGTAGCTGAGAGTTACATCCTGACTGTGTGTGTGTGTGTGTGTGTGTGTGTGTGTGTGTGAGAGAGAGAGAGAGAGAGAGAGAGAGAGAGAGAGAGACTTGGACTTGCATGGGTTTTTGAAACCTCAAAGCCCACTCCTAGTGACAAACTTCCTCAAAAAAAGCCACACCTCCCAATCTCTGTAGAACAGTGCCACTCGCTCATGACGACTAAGCATTCAAATATATGAGCCTCTGGGGGGCCATTCTCATTCAGATCACCACAATCCCCCAGGCCATTATCCGGGGAGCTGTGAACATTTCATGCACTTCTAGTCTTTGTTCCAGTTCATTTTTAAAATATTATTCTAATCTTTAAACTTATATGTATGTGTATGATCTGTGTGAATGCCAAGTGAGTGTGGATGCCAACAGAGGGCAGAAGAGGGCATCAGATCTGTAGGAGCTAGAGCACAAATGGTTGTGAGCTTCTCATTCTCAGTGCTAAGAACTCAATTCAGGTCATCTGCAGCAACGTGCTCTTACCTACGGAGCAGCAAGTGCTTTTAACCACGGGGCCATCTCTTTAGGTTCTGTTCCGGTGCATTCTTTTTAGATTTTTCTTATATGTGTATGAGTGTTTTGTCTGCATGTATGTATGTATGTGCACCAAATGCATGCAGTGCCTGAGGAGGTCATAAGAGGACATTAGAATCTCTAGAACTCGAGTTATGAATGGCTGGAAGCCACCATGTGGGTGCTGGGGAATGAATTCAGGTCCTCTGCAAGGGCAGCTATCGCTCTAAAATCATTGAGCCATCTCTTCAGCCCCTTATTTTATTTATTTTTATTACACTTACTTATGTCTTACCTGTTGGTGTGTTTGTGGGTGCCACAGTACATGCATGAAGATCAGAAGACAACTTGCAGGAGTCAGTTCTCTTCTTTCATTATGTGGGTCCTAGGGCTTGAACTCAGGTTGTCAGTCTTGATAGCAAGTGCCAAGAGCCATCTTGCCAGTACCTGGGGACAGGTGTATATAAAATTATAAATGGTCTCCTGTAGCCCAGACTGGCCTCAAACTCTCTATATAGTCAAGAATGTCCTTGAACTCTCAACCCTCCTGTCTCTCTGCCTCCAAGTATTGAGATTACAGGACAGACACCATGCCTGGCTGGTTTGATTCTTTGTTTTTTAGTTCAATAAATTCATATGAGCCAGGCGTTGGTGGTGCATGCCTTTAATCCCAGCACTCGGGAGGCAGAGGCAGTCGGCTCTCTGTGAGTTCTCCACCAGCCTGGTCTACAAGAGCTAGTTCCAGGACAGCCTCCAAAGCCACAGAGAAACCTTGTCTCGAAAAACCAAAAAAAAAAATTCATATGAATTTTCTTATGGTATGTGTTGGGATTCAATTTTTAAAAACTCTTTTTTCCCTTTGAGTGTGTAGATGTATGTTGTGTGGGTCAATGTGGGTATGAGTTTTTGTCTCTGTGTGTGCTCACCTGTGTATGTATGTATGTATGCATATGTGGAGGCTGTGTAACTCTTACTCTGGAAGGGTGTTTTGCCAATTCAGCTAATATAGCTAGCCAGCTTGCCTTGGGGATCTCCAGTCTCTTTCTCCCAAGTGCTGTTTTTTTTTTTTTTTTTCCGTGAGTTTTGGGCATCTAATCTTCAGTCTTCATGGTTGCACAGCAAACCTTTTATCACTTATCCCTCTCCCCTGATCACTGGGATCACATTGTAAGATGTGCATCATGTGAGATACTTGTTACAGACCCAGGAATTCCTGACACACACACATATCCCACCCTGCCTTGAGATTACAGTTGGGTAGGTATGAAGACACGGATTGGAAATCCACATTTTGTTTCCGTCACCCCAGCAAATTATGGTTCATAATGGCCCTGATAAGATTTTTAGAAATTATTATGGTAGGTTGTAGTGATGGTGGCAGTCCCCCTCAGCTTCTACATGCTGCCTGAGTTCTCCTGAGGAAACATCTCAGGAAAAATTCTTCTGTTAACTTCCCATTGTTACAGGGATCACCTTAAACTGCTCAAGGCAGCCTTCCAGACCATCCACTATATTTTGGGATCGATCTAATCATCTGCAATGTCGTGGCTGTGTCTGCACGTTCCCATGTGGCCAGGCCTGCATGCTGATGAGCCCTGAATGTTTTGTTCCTGTTGTCATGCTGAAGCCTTCAACATCCCCAGAGGATATATAGCTTAGGCACTCAAACCCAGTTCTCACGTCCTTTCCCCTGGCTTCTAAAATGATGGCTGCCTTCCTAGAGCTACCAATGCTCTGGTTGTTGTGTATTTTTATTAAGTGAGTCTTATCTTTCCCCTAAATTCAATCTTCGAGGGTATGATATGTGTATGCTATCCCTCAGAGCCTCTATCATAGTTCTAACAGGCATTAGAAAGTGCTGTTGAGTAGAACTAAGCCAACCTTGTCAGATAATTTTAACACATTTTTTTTTGTAAAAAATGATCAAATTTATGTGTATACATATGTGTCTTTCTGAATTGATGTGTACCATGTGTATATGTGGAGGCCAGATGGCATCAGACCTCTGGAACTGGAGTTGCAGGCAGTTGTGAGCTGTCAGATATGTGTGCTGGGACTTGAACGTGGGTCGTCTGCAAGATCAGTAACCACGCTTAACCACTGAGCTATCTTTCCAGGCCCCCAATACATGTACTGCTAAGAATGAGTTCTGTAGTCTCTCACATGTCTTTTCTTGCATCAGACTAAGGTTTGAAAATTTTCTAGATATTTCCCTTTGTTGTGGTTTTGTTTGCTGATAATAAGGTTAAGTAAAAAGGTTATCTTGGTTCCAGTGTTTATCTAATTCAACAATACTTCCTATCACCCATGACATGCCCACTTACAGATTTTCTGCTTGAAGAGTCTAACCTTTACTACAATGTGAGCTGTTTTTTTATTCCTCCTACAGATGTAATGGTTTCTCTTTTTCTAAAAGAGCATGTTTTATTAGATTAAAGGAATATAAAGGGGTTAATGGCTAAATAATTTTATTTTGGCTTCCTTAATCTTCTTTCTCTCTTTACCCTTCAGGGTTCGGCCTCCCTGAAGGACAGAAGTGCTTTAAAGGAGTTTGCTTGGATGTGTGGAGTAGGTGGGGACACTGAAGGAAGAAAAGTCCTTTCCCTTGCAGTAGGCAAGGTGGTGAGATTCAGCTCATCAAGTATTTATTGAGCTCTTCTGACTCACCTAGCCCTGTGCACAGCACAACAGAGAACATCAAGATGGGAGGTGCTGACTGGGTGGAAGGCAAAGGGGAAAGTTTACGAGGGGGAGAAAGGAGTAGGTTGGCAATCCACATAGGAGGGTACTAGAGAAGAGAAAAGGGAAAAAGAGCAAAGGTGAACTCTCTGGGCTGTTTCTTTGTAATTAAATTGTTTTCATTTATTTTACATACCAACCACAGTTTCCCCTCCTTCTTCTCCTCCCATTTCTTACCCCAACCTCCCACCTTCCTCTCCCCATCCACTCCTCCTCCATGTCCATTCAGAAAGGAGTAGGCCTCAGGGAGTCAACAAAGCATGGCACATCAAGGTTGAAGCAGGACCAAGCTCCTCCCTCTGCATCAAGGCTGGGAGAGGCAACCCTGCTTGAAGATTAGGTTCCCAAAAGTCTCTGGCCTGTTTTTCCATGATAGCACCATAAGGGCTCAAGAACACTGCAGTAGTGGTTTGAGCTTGGATTTTGAGAGTCTTTAGAGCAATTAGGATAGGCACAATTTCAGTCAAAAGTAGCTATACTGAGTTTTTTGTGTACACATTCACAATATTACTATTTTTATCATCATGCTGAATATTAAACACAAACACTTTCTCTGAGTTAAATCCTAAGTCCCTAGAATCAATCTCTAATCTCTCTCTCTCTTCTCTCTCTCTCTCTCTCTCCCTCCCTCCCTCCCTCTTTCCCTCCCTCCTCCTCTCTCTCTCTCTTTTTTCTTTTTAGTATTTTCTTGAGACAAGGTCTATGTAACACTGACTGTCCTGAAACTCACTATGTATACCCGGCTGGAGATTCACCTGCTTCTTTCTGCCTCCCCAGTGCTGGGACTGAAGGAGTGTGCCACCATGTCAGGCTATTTTTTGGGGGGGGGTAGATTTATTTGATGTTGTATAAATGAACATCATGTGAGTTATGGACGGTTGTGAGCCACCATGTAGGTGCTGGCAACTGAACCCAGGTCCTCTGCAAGGGCAATAAGTATTCTTATTTTTCCCCCTGAGACAAGGTTGCTTTGTGTTGTTCTGGCTGTCCTGGCACTCGCTCTGTAGACCAGACTGGCCTCCAACTCACAGAGATCCTCTTGCCTCTGCCTTCCAAGTGCTGGGATTAAAGGTGTGCACCACGACTGCCCGTCCAAGCAATAACTATTCTTAGTCATTGGATCTCTCCAGCCCCTGCTTGTATTTTTTTTTCAAAATATTTTATGTGTATAAACGTTTTGCCTGCATGTATGTATGTGCATAATATGTATGTCTAGGGTCATAAAAGTTCAGAAAAGAGTGGTGAATCTCCTGTAACTGGACGTACAGATCATTGTGAGCCATTACGTGGGTGCTGGGACCTGAACCCAAGTGCTCTTCAAAAATAGGCAGTGCTCTTATAACTACCGAGCCATCTCTCCAGTTCCCTAATATTTTTGAATGATAATAGCTGACAATTATTGTGTGATTGTTGTGTTTGAAGCACTTTTTCTTTCCCAGCATTAACTCATTTAGTCTTCATCACAAACACACGAGGTAGACAAAATTATGATTCATACCTAGCATGGAACAGCTAAATAATTTGCTGAAGTGCACATAGCTTTTAAGTATCAGTGTAGCACTTTTGTTTTTTCAAATAATCTTTATTGTATGTCTATTATGTTAAGTATAACTTAAATTTTATTTTTATGTTTATTTACTCTGTCTCTCTGTCTGTGTCTCTCTCTCTCTTTCTCTCTTGTGTGTGTGTGTGTGTGTGTGTGTGTGTGTGTGTGTGTAGTATTCCTGCCACAATGCTTGTGTACATCTCAGAAAGCAACTTTTGGGAGTTAGTTCTCTTGTCCTCTCTTTCCCTAAGTGGGCTTTGGGGATTGAATTCAGGCCATCAGTCAGACCTTGGACTCACTATAACCTTGAACTCCTGGTCCTCTTGCTTCCACTTCCTGAGTGCTTGGATTACAAGAGTGAGCTACCACATCCGGATTCATTTATATGGTGCTGGAGATGAAACTCAGGGCCTTGTCTGTGCTCAAAATCACTCTGAGATATGCTCTTAGCCCTGGTTTTTGTTGTTGCTTTTTGGTTTGGGGACAAAGTTGTACTCTGTAGTTTACGCTGCCATGGGATTTACTCCATAGGCCAGGGTAGTCTTCCTCCCACCTCAACCTCCTGTATCATTGGCCAGGTTGGCAGTGTGGTCTTGAGTCTTGGCTTGACCCAGTACTTATTTCTTTTCTTTCTTTCTTTCTTTCTTTCTTTCTTTTTTTTTTTTTTTTCGAGACAGGGTTTCTCTGTGGCTTTGGAGGCTGTACTGGAACTAGCTCTTGTAGATCAGGGTGGTCTTGAACTCACAGAGATCCTCCTGCTTCTGCCTCCCAAGTGCTGGGATTAAAGGCGTGTGCCACCAATGCCCAGTGACTCAGTACTTATTATTGGAGGTACTGGGCCTTGTTTCTTTCACTCCCTGGGACTACTATTAATATTGCCTTTGCACATCATCAGCATGCTATGCTTTGAATAAAGTGAAACACCAACCAAAATGTGCTTCCTGTTTAAGGCCAATTACATAAGCATAAGTACATAAGTACATAAGTAGCCAAGTGTACAGAGGGAAGGTTTGTAATCTCAACACTTGGGAGGCAGAGGCAGGAGGATCAAGAGTTCAAGTCCAGCTTCTGCTATAAGAGATGCAAACAAAACCACCAGTAGGTCTCAAACCTGGGACAAACAGCTGAGGTGCCTATTTAACATATCAAAGTAGGCCTGGCCACCAGTATCCCTCAGTCCCTATCTGTTACAGGGAATGGCTGGCATACCCCACCTCCTACCCTAAACTTCTCCAGCCTGGGGGCTGGGCTGCCCTCCCTGATGCCTCTTCCCTATATGATCTAATAATCCTGGTTACCTGGCCTTTTCGTTTTTCCATTTACCCTTTACCTTCTTGGCCTCTTGGTCTGGCACTCCCCTCTCCCTACTCCTCACATGGCCCAGCTCAGGGTCATGTCCACTCTGGACTCTCCCAGATGTCTCTGCCTCTGGCTATGCTTTCCCTTTTATCTACAATAAACCTCCTCCTCCCTCCTCATACCTAGGAGCGGCCACGTCCTCCTTTTTATTAGCTATTTTTTCTTTCAACCACCAAAACTCAAGCAAGACATTTTTTTAACTGTCATATAAAACACAGGGGGAAGGATTGTCTGAAAAATTCTCTGCCTCACTATAGGGCTTTTCCCATGAGAAAGGACATAATGAAACCACCTTGCGTCTTTTGTCCAAATCTTCCAACTCCCGATGCGTGGATGCTTGAAATTCTTTTGAAAATGTTTTACACTGGGTGTATAATCCCAAAACTTGGGAAGTTTACATAGTGAGTTACAGGTCAGCAAGGGCTGTATAGTGAGACCCTGCCTCAAAAATATTTTCACACTTTTATTAATTGATTAATTAAACAATCAATTGTGTATGGAAAGTCCAGGGTTCACGAGTGTGGGTGGGTGTGGAGGTTGAGGACAGCTTGCAGCAGTCCAGTCTTTTCTTCCACAAGGTGGTCCGGGGGATGGAACTAAGGTGTCAGATTTGGCAGCAAGCTCCTTCTTTGCAGGGTGAGATGGCTGAACCGGTAAAAGAGCTTGCTGCCAAATTTGATGGACTGAGTTCGATCCCAGAGATCTACAGAGTAGAAAGAAAGAAATGTTAGCAAGTTGTCCTGTGACCTCCAGGCATGGGTGATGACACACGTGAGATAAACAAGCTCGTATAATTAAAAAAATTAGGAACAGAAAAATATTCTTTGGGTTGAAAGAATTCAAGCGTAGCATCCTGGATGGGCAATGCCATTAACAAAGCGATGTGAATTTCTTCAGGATTTTCTTCTTTGGCTTACCCAGATTCCTATTTGAGGAGAAAAGAGCGGCGGTAGGCCGGGTCGCAGAGAAGAACTTGGGAAAAAAAAGTCCTGCAGGTGGCTGAGACAGGAGCACTTCCTTGGAAAGGCGCTGGTAGAGTCGGCAAGATTGGGCGGCTTGCAAGCGGGAGGAGGAGCCCCGCAGCGCTGGGAGGAGCCAGGGTATGCGAGCGGGAGCGCCGCGCACCAGGAAGTGACTCGCCCCGGTGACCTCCCGCCCTCAGCGCCATCCGCTGGCCTTTTGGTTTGCTACTGCACGTCCATCGGAGGCTTTAGTGGCTCCGAAGGAAGGAGTGGTGGGTAAGTAGTCTGGAAAATCCAATTTTAGGAGAACCGTTTCCTGTGCCCAAGTGTTGGGTTTGGGACAGGAAGGAGGCAGCTGGGGCCAGGTTCCACCCAGGGTGACTGTGCAAGATCGCGACCAGCCTAGAGTTTCCCTTCACAGTCCCCCCATCCCTCCCCTAGCTCGCTCAACCCTTCCACCTGCCTGCAGTTTGTGGGTTTGTGGTGGCGTGTTCTTGCATCTGTCTTCTAACCCACTTAGTTAACCTTTCCCATTGCTGTAGTAAAATACCCTGACAAAAGCAGCTTTAGGGGAGAAAGGGTTAGGCTTACAACTGCAGCTTCCAGCAAATTCGTTACGAAAAAGTCACATCCACAGCCAATGGCATGGAGAGAATGAATGCACATATGCTTTCTACAGTATTCTGCAGTGCAGGGCTGAAACCCAGAGATGGTGCCCACAGTAAGCTGGGTCTTTCCACAACAATTAACATAATCAAGACAAACTTCTCTTGCTTTGTCCACAGGCCAACTTGAACTAGCCTATCCCTCCTTAGATATCTATCCCTACATATTCTCCCCCCAGCTGTAGTCTTGACAATTAAAATGAACCATCACACACACCTTATAGATGCTTGTGGAACAAAACTTACTCAGAGAGGCCTGGCTGCTGAAGGCTTTCCCTGGCTGCATGTGGTTTGCTAAG